TTTATGTAATAAATAATATATATCACAATCATTGTGCATTTACATTAACTACATGTACAGTCCATATGACAGTCCACGCACAAAATCACAGTCCATCACACACGCGAAATAACTTTGTACGAACTGTTCAAATATTAAAGGCACATCCTGGAACGATGGAACACAGTCAGTAAACACACATGGGTAGCAGGGGATAGTTTTTTTTAATGCCAAACATGTGCCGAGGGGGTACACATATACACGCGATCCATAAAAACATGTACATGGGGACAGTTTTCCAGGGGCTAATTAATTACACTTCATATGCCCATGGCTCACAAATTAAGTCAACAAATTACATGTAATCTGCGTATTAGAGTGCACATGTACCAAAAATGCACCTGGGGACTCCCCAAATTTTGGCTTGTTTTTCCAAGATTTGGGCCTCATTCACACCCATACAACCCACCCCCGGGCCCGAGCGAGCAGGATAAAACACCCAGTAGTCTGTAAATCAATGCAAGCCCTAATAAAAATTCACCAATTGATATGGGGTCATTCACCTTCCCTCTGAGATACACACCTTCTTCTAAGGCCTACTGCTTTTCAGCTGAATTTCCTCTGCAACTGACCACGTGTCTTAGTTTTGCATTTACAACTCTGTATATGATAAGCGTCATAGTGACACCTACATGTTGCACATCATTTTTTTCAGCAAGCACTCTGCTACACTGCAAATGTGTCCCATAATTATTCTAATCATTTTTCTACATAAAATATCACATCAAACAGGGGATATCTCAATTTTTTAAGAAATTTGACCGGGTCTTTAGTACGAAACTATCCCCTGCCACCTTTAACTTTCAAAGTTTGCTTTTCAATTAAAATAACTTTCCATATTTAGAAAGTGCAATCAATTCTGAGTAAAAATATACTAAATATGTCTTATTTCAATGAAAAATAAAAAAGTTAGAGGCAAATATGTGACCCCACCAATTGTCGGTCAACCACCTTAACCTTATATTCTTTGTGTTACTTCAAAAATGACCAACTCCTACAATCCAAAAGAAACTATTTCTTATCAAAACAGTGTTTAATGGTAACTTTGATCAATTTCAAATGCAGCTACATATAAAAAAAACTCAATAAGAATTGCATGCCTTGATGAAATGTACTCACATGTAACACATACTCTCCTATTTTTGATGTTTTGAGAAATCCCATTTTACCTCTTAATTGCTTGAATTTATACATCTACAGCTTGTTTGCAAAAAGAAAACCTAATCTATTTTTCAGGATATTTATTGTAATATACAAAAACCCCTCTTGCATCAAAGGTTCAAGAAGAAGTGTCCTGGAAATTGCAGTTATCTACCCTACCCCTCCAACCATTACCTGATTCTATTGAAAATATACTGTGGAAATCTGAGTTTCCTGACTGTCCTTTTTCTGAGTATATTTCATTCAATTTCAACATATCTGAATGATCAAATACATGCATTTGATTCCCCTGAATATTTAAAGTGATCATCCTGTCCTTACTTGGCATTTGTGAGTAAATTTCAGGTGCTTAGTAGAATCCAATCATTACATGAAAATGTACATATTTTTGATATTTTGTCCATTAAATATGCAAAAAGACCATCTGTTTTGTTCCAATTTAAAGAAATATATATAATCTATATGAAAATAATGAAAAGTTTAAGTTCTATCACATTATAGAAGACAAATGAGGGGGAAAATGAAGGGGAGGGGGGTATTTTTTTATGTAATCATCAATAGTAAAATGGGTCTATTTTGAGAAAAAATTAAAGCACAGCAATTCTTTCAAAAAATGTGGTTCTGTAAACTGATATTTTTGCATACTGACTCATTCTTTTTTTTCTAAATAATGATATTTAGTGAAACACATGTAAAAAAGAGTAAATTTATGTAATTTCAGTGATATCGCAATAATTAAGCCCCTTTAATTTTAATTAATACTAAGTAATTGAATCAAAATTTGACAAAATATATGTGACAGTGCCCAAACTATTATTTTCAAGCAAGTAAATTTTTCTCAGAAAAAAATTGCCTTACTCTGTTAAGATTTGTTATGCTGATGCTTCAAACTCTTTGAAAATGTGTACTGGAAAAGGTTTACCCCCCCTTGTGTTTAGGTCTCTCTACCTAAATGAATAAGAGTCAAATGAAAGAAATATGGTGAGTTTTGAAAATGGCATACATCAATAAACTTATTTAGAGAAGAATTAGACTAAATTACATATTTCTGAAAATTGGTGTTTTCTTGAAGGTAGCAGGGGATAGTTTTTTTTAATGCCAAACATGTGCCGAGGGGGTACACATATACACGCGATCCATAAAAACATGTACATGGGGACAGTTTTCCAGGGGCTAATTAATTACACTTCATATGCCCATGGCTCACAAATTATGTCAACAAATTACATGTAATCTGCGTATTAGAGTGCACATGTACCAAAAATGCACCTGGGGACTCCCCAAATTTTGGCTTGTTTTTCCAAGATTTGAGCCTCATTCACACCCATACAACCCACCCCCGGGCCCGAGCGAGCAGGATAAAACACCCAGTAGTCTGTAAATCAATGCAAGCCCTAATAAAAATTCACCAATTGATATGGGGTCATTCACCTTCCCTCTGAGATACACACCTTCTTCTAAGGCCTACTGCTTTTCAGCTGAATTTCCTCTGCAACTGACCACGTGTCTTAGTTTCGCATTTACAACTCTGTATATGATAAGCGTCATAGTGACACCTACATGTTGCACATCATTTTTTTCAGCAAGCACTCTGCTACACTGCAAATGTGTCCCATAATTATTCTAATCATTTTTCTACATAAAATATCACATCAAACAGGGGATATCTCAATTTTTTAAGAAATTTGACCGGGTCTTTAGTACGAAACTATCCCCTGCCACCATGGGTCCGACTTCATTTGTTACAGATCGGTGTACGCCGAATTGCGCCGGTCATATGACCGGCGTAAAACGGCTAAGTGGCAAATGAAGTAAACCAGCGAAAACAAAAAATAATTTTACTAAATAATAATGAATTAATTATAATCTATCACTTTTTACACTATGTCTTAGCGAAAAAAAGGTTGAATAGTTCAAAATTCAATGCAATAAAAAAATCATGGACCTAATGAAAAATTTTAATAAGAAAATAACAACAGATTTTAAATATATCAATGGAAAGAGCTAGAGCCATGTTTAGCATATTTGGCCCTGTGTTTTGAGGGAAATTATAGATTGACAATACATTGATCCAATACATTATTCACACAGTCTAAACTTGACATATTCCAGTTTAGACCCTCTTTTCCCGCCAGTGCTTCAAACAACCGAATACTGTAACAAACAAAACCGAAACTGGACACGTTTTCGTATAATTTCGCCACTTTGAATCAGTTGTGGCAATTTTTAAAGTATGAGCACAGCCTTCGATCCAAAAAGTATTGACATCTTATTAAAATACTGTACAATCTGTAACTTTTCCACATGAAACTTTTTGGATCGAGGGCTGTGCTGTGGGTGAAAACTAGAAAAGTACGTCTCTTGGTTAATCCGGATTTATCCATTCCGTCACATTTGAACAGCGTTTCCACAAAAATAAATGCACATATAATTTTTAAAAAAATATTCTCGTTGAAAATATTGATGTGTTCATTAATTAATTTTTCCTGATTTTTCAAAGAATAAAAAAATATGATAAAAAGTTTCTGATTTTCGTCTGCAACTTACGTAAATATATCTACATACGTGTACACATGTAGAATACATGTATCAACAATACATTGTGGTGCTTACAATCAGCGTTGATTTGTTTTTCCAAAATGATACAAGGAGGTGAATAAAGAAGAGTTTTATAAGGTAAGAATCAATTTTTTCAACTAATAACTATCGTAAAAGGCATGTATGATCCACCCCTCGCTTGCAGACGACTTTCCTCAATTCTGTTTTTATTATTATAGAATCTAATCATGTTGTATTCTCTCTTCGTTGGAAAACTATGATGTTTATAAGTAATTTATAAGCCTTTACACCCCTTTGGAAACAAATAGCATAAAAGATACTGACAATAATGAGCTGCATACGTAAATTGTTTACAGCTTGATGCCATTTATAGTTCTACGCTCCGCCCACTTAGTCATGACATAGCATAAATAACCTGACTGCAGACACTACACACAAATATAAATAAAGGCTTTAATACCTTTAATAAACACAAGATATAAATTTTTACAAACATTATTAAAGCAAACGATACAATATAACCAACCAAAACAAAAAGTATGTACAACTTTTAACACTTTACTTTACAGAATCCTCAGTAGCGCAGTGGAAGCGTGGTAATTTCCCAATAAAACGACCCGGGTTCAAACCCCGGCGTGGCCTTCTTTTTTTTTCCCCCTAAGGTCATAAAATAAAAACTTGTTACTCTCTATATACTTTTGCCTTAGTTTTTCACAAGTTATAACAAAAGGAATCAATTCCATATCCAAAGAAAATTGTTCAATGAAGAATTGGCAAACAGAAAGCACCGACTGTTGCTTACACGTACATAGCTGAGGAAATAGTGTTAAAGTATTATCAATTAATATTTGCCAAATAAGTTTTTGAGAATGACTGAATTTACAATTTGAGTAATAGCTTTAGATTTCAATTTTAATTGTTTATAATCTAAGAGCTGACCACTTCCTAATTAAAAACTCTTTAGTGTGCAGTGTATAGAGAGCATTCTTGATTTTTTCACAACAGTATTACAAAAAAAAAACAAAAACAAAAACAAAACAAAAAAAATTCTATAACCATAATCAAATTAATTATAACCATAATCAAATTATTTTTTTTAACAAGGAACTGACAAAAAGAATGAAACCTGCACCAATCAAAATAATTTTCAAAATCTTTTTTAAACATAAAAAAATGAAAATAATTGAAATATGCAGCAATCAACAGAATTTTAAACACACTTTTTTTTTAGAGCATGAAAAATGGAAAAACCTGACAAATGCAGCCAAAAGTTTTATCCCTGCATCCTAGGCAAAAAGAGGACTAAACCAAATGATAGGAAAAAATGTGAAACAGTTGGAATGCGAAGATTCCTTAGAAGAAACTTTCTTGTGGAGGCAAGTTCAAATGACATCCTTTGCAACAAATGTAGGCATAAATTCTATAAACAGCAACAGACAACAAGTGCGAAAATTTCAAGCAGAGAAACAACACAACAACAAAATTATCAACAACAAAAAACAGCTGTGTCCAGTCCACCATCCATTTCTTTGCCTCTCCACAGAACAGCATCTTCTCATGCATACTGTTTTATCTGTAGACGTCCAGGCCCCAAACTTATTGTTGTGCCTTCATCAGCTAGGTTTTCTGCCTTCCTCAACAAAGAAATCATCATTCCACCAGGAAGCAGATGTTGCCCTTCACATGTTGAAGATGGGGATTTTACTCCTGGAGTACTGCTAGATATCAACACCCTGGACTCCTCTCTACTTAACAGAACAACAATATTAGAACTAATCAGAAAGATCAGAGAGTATGCTTTAAAATCTTCTTCAAAATTCACTTTTGACTCTTCGAGTATGAATAGCTGTGATGATGTCACACTCACTGGTATCACAAAAGAAAATTTTGATGATCTTCACAAATCCATCGCAGATGATGTGAGAAACACCCAGAATAGGCACCCCAGGATGTCCCTTGGTATTTTCCTTTTAAAGCTTAGATCTGGAATGTCCTACCAGCTCCTCAGCACAATTTTTGGAATCTCTAAATCATCACTCCGCAGAGCCATGAAATCAGTTCGTTCAGCATTAATGAAGAATTTTGTACCTAACAACTTAGGCCTACAACATATCTCCAGAGAAGACATCATTGAAAAACACACGCGACCACTGGCTCAAGAACTTTTTGGCAATATAAATCATCAACAAGTCATCGTAGTTTTGGACGGCACATATATTTACATTCAAAAAAGCAGTAATTTCCAATTTCAACGCAGATCTTACAGCATACACAAGGGCAGGTCACTCCTTAAACCAATGGTCGTGGTGTCCACTGACGGCTATTTTCTGTCAATTGTTGGCCCATATTTGGCTGATTATAAAAACAATGACGCATCCATTTTGAATCACATGCTGAAGACCAACGTCGAAGATCTTAAAAGCTGGTTTAAAGATGATGATGTCTTTATAGTGGACAGAGGCTTTAGGGATGCCATTGAAGTACTGGAAGAGTTTGGTATAAAGGCACAGATGCCATGTCTATTAGGCAAAGGTGAAAGGCAGATGTCAACTCTGGATGCTAATTCTTCTCGGCTAGTTACAAAGGTAACATGCTTTTTTATTGCTGTATTTCCTGCAAAACATATTTGAGGAATATTACTTATTTTAATCACAAGTTACCAAATGTTTTGCCAGCATGTGAATTAAAGTACATGTATCTATGTATAATGCAAAATAATCAAGGATAATATTCTTTTACCAAAACGAGTTTTAAAAAATTGTCATAATTTGACCATGGTTTGTTTGTGAAACACAATGTATCTGAATAGTACAAAATCTTTGTATGCAAAGTTGATATTTGATTTCCCTATCAATCTATTCTTATTTTTTCTGTTATCTTTAATTATATGTATTGAATTTTAAATAATTATATTCCAAACATTTGTTTAAAAATTAATTCATAAAATACCCTATTAACAAGAAATATAATTGTTTATCAAATAAAAATATCTATGAAAAGGGGGAATAACTCAATTTTCTTTTTCATCTTGGAAAAATAGAAAATTGAGTAATTCCCCTTTCAAAATGTCAATAAAATTGATCAATGCCGCAGTTTTTGACCTGATGCGGCAGTGCCTGAGAAACTATTGATTAATTATTTTGGCCTCAGCTGATTCCAATTACTTCAATTGGTCTTATTAACTTGGTACCTGGTTTGTCTGCCAGATACCTAGCACAATTGAAAATTGAGAAGTTAAACAGACAAAAGATACAGAGAGACAATACAAACACAATATGTCTCTGGTCTTACCTATTTTCACTCACCTGTACACATGGCTTTCATTTATTTTACAGATTCGTTGGGTAGTAGAGGCTGCAAATTCAAGAATCAAACATTGGAAATATCTCGCCCATACACTTCCAACCAATCAGATACCATACATTGGTGATTACGTGCGCATTGTTTGTGCAATATCTAACAAATACTACAAGCCACTATCATCTGGCAATGTTGATGATGACATAGCCCTGGCAGCAAAAATGAGACATCTTTCTACTCAAATCAACACCCTCAAGACATTTGTCGAGGAAAATTCCTTGGACAAAAGATCTGTAAACTGGGACGTGGCTCCCGAATCACTTGTTTTTCCTAAACTTGATGAGGAAGAAATCAGAAACTTGACATGTGGGGTGTATCAGCTGAAACTCTGCCCTAGTTATGTTCAAGAGTACCTTGATGGTGATGTCAGTATCTTGTTACATAAAGAGTTTCCTGGACTTATTCGAGTCAAGCTTCAGAGCAGACACATATCCTCTAAGATGTACCTCCTCTGGATACAGTTCTCCGAGTCCAACATCACTGCTTGGTACTGCAGATGTCGTGCGGGAGCTCGTGTAGTTGGAGTCTGCTCCCACATAGCCTCCGTAATCTGGTATCTTGGTTTTGCGAAGCATAATGTTGAGTCCATGCATGGTGTCCAAGACTGGTCAGATTTCGTGATGGATGCTGCTGTCATCGATGAATCCTCTAGCAGTGATGAAAGTGAAAAAGAGGAATGAAGAACATGTTAAGTAATAAGTACTGCAAATACATGTATGTGCACATAATATTCATGTAAAAACAAGAGGCCCATGGGCCACAAGGCCCATCTACATCACTAAGGCCCTTCTGTTCTTCATCAGCATTTTTATTTGTATATATATATATATATATACATATATTCCTATGTAAAATTTTGATTGCTTATTGTGGTCCACCATACCCCCATGGGTCATGATTTGAACAAAACTGAATTTACACTACCTGAGGATGCTTCCATATTAATATGAAATCAAGGTTTTGCTATTCTTGAAGATAAGACTTTTAAAGATTTCTTCCTATATCATGTATATATTACTTTGTTAAACATTTATCAACCATTGTAGCTCCACCATAACCCTGGGGTCATGATTTGAACATACTTGAATCTTAATCAGTTAGGAAAGCTTATACAAATGTTTTATCTTCTCTGTCCAGTGGTTTGTTTTTATTGATCCCACCCTATTTTTGCCTTCTCTTGATTATCTCCCCTTGAAAAAGGGTTTGTGAAGAAGTTGAAAATGTAAAGTTAACAGACAGATCAGACAGACAGATAACAGATGATCAGAAATAAATGACTGTTAATTCTTTGAGAATAATCTAATATAATTTAGTTTCATTACTTTTTTGTCTTTAAAATTCATATATGAGCTGTGATGGTTTTTTTTTCCTAATCAATTACCAATATTTTTTGTCTTAAAAATGAAAGCATATATATATGAACAAGGACTGCTAATAATCTTCCATTAACTGTATATCTATGTTCTCATAATTTTTTCCACTACATTTCAAACAATACATCATGATGCTGCTAATATTTTATTATGTTTTACAAAATGCCATGTCAGTTGAAACAAAGCATGTATTTATACTTAGTTAAAGCTATACATACATACATATATATTAATATATATATATATATCAACTTGTGTTTGTTGATTGTATGATCATACCTTTAAAACCAAATGCATGTCAACTATAAAATATGTATAGATACTATATATTATCTCATCTTAGAATATATGCTCAAGATTTGAAATTGGAGCTCTGGGTATATTATGACATGTTTAAAGGTTATATAAAATGTGTTCTTGTACTATGGGTGTACTATGGGTGATTTAGATGAATTTCTTTAATGCCAATACTTTCCAGAATGTCCAAAATATATGCAACTCTGTGTGTTATAGTTACTGTTCCTGAATTAATTAATTAATAATTTATTAATTAAAAAAAAAAAATTACTATACAAAGGCAATCAACTCTATAAAAATATACTCATTTTACAAACAAAATAAATCGCATATGTATCCACAGCATAACTTGTGTTATTATTATTATTATTTTTTTTTGTTTTTAATATTTACAGCTCACCGCACACAAGGTGGTGTACAATTTACTGCTAAATAAGGCATAATAAAAAATATGTTTGTTTACAGCTACCCCAGCGACCCTATATTTAATCGCAGACTCAAATTCTTTTCATCGTAAAAACCCTGAAGTCACACGCCGGTCAGTTTAATTTTTACATGCATCTTAATCAGTGAAGTATTTGAAGTCGAAATTGAGAGTACTAGAAACAAAAAGCACCATACAATGATAAAACTGTTTTCTATTTCAACCAATTCATGTGAATTTCATCTTCGCTAGCCAAGGGTTTTTGATCCTCACAAACCCTTGGCATACAGTGCAATCAAAAGTTGGGATTGTTTACGACACGTGATCTCGAATCTTCCAACATACGCACAAATTGCGTCATCGACCAAAATAAAAGGCGCATTTGAAAATTTAAGTTTTTAAAGAATAATTAACAAGATGATACCGAGCAATATTGATTTGTTATTTATTTTGCTAATCTACATCTACAATAAGATTCCTGGTCACAATTTTTGTACATCAGCTTAAGATTGGATGACACCATATCTATTTATAGAGTGGCATGTTATCTTACGAATCGTTGTTACTTGTGCTTTTCATTCCGAGACTAAAGAATCAAGATATATCCTGAGGGCAAATATCATCATTTACAAAAGCAATTGCTGATTGGTCGAATGGTGTCGATCAACTCCAATCACAACTTGAGAAAAAAAAACCTAACTTTTAACAGCACCATTTGCCAAGGATTTGTGAGAAGAGTAGCGGATCAAAAACCCTTGGCTAGCAAAGATGTGTGAATTTGTGTATAAAAAAATTCAATAAAAAAAAATAAAAATCCTACCTACCAACCCTTTTGTATTTCAGCATGTAACAGTAAACAAACATATTTTTTCGTTTGGCCTAAAGCTACCTGAAGTAGCTAAATAAAGCTATGGTGGGTAATTCAAGCTACGTAGCTAAATGTACTGATTGTACAGTTGTACTGGACCTGATTTACACTCACCTGGTTCAATATATTTTGAAATCTGAATTTATTCTACTTTAATCTACATTTGTAAACGACTTCTGATGAAATGATAATCAATCTCCTTTTCCTAGGGTTTGTTGTTTCCTTTAAAAAAAAAATGTTACCACTCCAAGATCACAGGAGTTGGCAGTTTTATCCATAAAGCAATGTAAACAATAACCAGTGAGCTTTGCGAGTGCTCGCAAAGCTCACTGGTTATTGTTTACGTTGCTTTAGTTTATGGATAAAACTGCCGACTCCTTTGCCCAGATCTACGTTTTCTATATTAATCCGAGATTCCTCAGACTCATTCTTTTCTCAGTCTTTTCAAAGTGACATGGTAGCTACACCAACTGGCTGGTGTTGGTGAATCTCCACTTCTCAATATCATGGCTACCGCTCTGAGCCCCCCTTCCCCCTTCCCCGCACTTTTCGCAATGTTAGAGTGGAGGTTAGACAGAGGAATCTCGGATTACATGTAATTTGAGAACATGTGGCAATCTGTAACTTCCAACGGCACATCCAATCAATATACCTGACATTCCAAAATCTTTACATTGATTTCAGAGGTTAAAAAGAAATAAAATATCATTTTTATCATGCAAAACAGATAATATACCACATGTTTACTAAAATATAACTTACTGTTTATCTTGCTATGCGGTTCTGTCACTCCCTCTCTGATTCAGGCCTTTCACCAGTCGAACAAAAAATGATTCGATTTTCGGCTTCATAAATCATGTTTCAAGTAGAGAACTACTTTCACAATGTATTGATTCATTAATTCATTAATAAAGGTAAAATAATTGTTTAGAGTAAATGAGGGTCGAATGAAAAAGGTAGAAGTTACCCTGAACTACATGTATAATTAAATCAGGTTCGTTTATTTGTTTTTCTTTTTTTATTTTTATAGAACATATAAATATCCCTTTCACAGCTGTTCAGGTCTTATGGTAATTAAAAAAAAAAAGAAATAGATATATATAAAACTTTTTTTTTTATTTTCCAGCGTTACCATTATTATTTAGACTATCTTTCGTCCAGTAACTACACGATGTCACAAATTATTATTATATATTCATTATTGTTCGCGACCTGGATCCAAAGCATTCGGTGACGTTACGTTCATATTTTTATAATCTCTCGGAATGAAGGTGCCTTGCAAACAACTGATTTTCGCTTTAATTACAAAATATTAGACAAAAAACAAACATATATCCTGAAAGAAAAAATGTTAATTCATAAGATAACAAAACTTCACAATTTTTTGACATTAGGCCGATTTTGGCTAAACATGGCTCTACCTCTTTGTTCAAGAAATGCAAACAACTAAAGAACATGCCGAATTGGAAAAAAGTATCTACATTTTAACAGTTGTTTAATCTTCCCGCCATAATTCTAAGACCGGCGAATCCGTCGCCGGTCATTTCAAACCGGCGAGATCAGGGTACGCCGGCGAACCTTCCCCGGTCAAATGAAGTAACAAGCCGGGTTACCAAAGGTCAAGCGGCGCACTCGGCGTACGCCGGTTTGACAAATGAAGTCCCACCATGGTCCAAAAGTGCGCAAAATTAATGTCACTCGAGAGTGTCATTGCGATACATGGTTATAAAACACAGTCTCTCCACAGGTATGGACGGAATCCTCTGACGATGGAAGCTGAAAGGTAAGCTTCAAGTTCAAGCAGAATATATTATACCATCTGACTACATGTCATACCAAGTGTTGTCATATGATTATGATATATAACATAAGATGACGTTATGAAATAATCTATACACAGATTAATAGAAATAACTTTCCATTTCAGAATAACATCAAGCATGAGCGGAAAAATATGAATATGAAAATGAATCAATGAAAAATAAATGACATGGGTAAGTAAGGATGATAATACATGTAACTCTGTATACATTTTATTCTTCTGTATAAACATTAAATGGAACTAACTCAACTCTCTTGTTCATCCTTTCACTCAGACTTGTGCTATCACGTTTAAAACAAGTGCCATCAGGCTTCTCATACATCTCAAATCTCTCGTCTCTAGAAAAATACCTCTTTCGCTCACTCTCATTCTTCTTAAAACTAGCCAACTCAAACTTCAGTCACCTATTCTCCTTCTCAAACTCACGCCTCAACTCTCTCTCCTGAATCTCACTACTCTCACTCAACCTCTTTCTTGCCATCTCACGCATTCTCTCTAACCTCTCTATCTCTCGGCTAATACAAGAAACACTTTAAGTTCTCTCTACTTTCAGGCAATGATGAAAATGATAAAATGTCCGTCTGACAGGAAGCTGAAGATGTAGATAAGGAGCGCGCGAATGATAATATACAGGAAGCAAAGATAACGGCAAGGACACAGATGGTGGAGATGATGACAGGTTTGGCGCAGGTGCAGATGATGAAGTGACAGACTGCACGGGTGGCTCGGAGACAGAGGGTGAAGATGTGGACTGCACAGATGGCATCACAGATGGCTGGGTTCCTGGGTCCCACAGGGAAGCCACAAACTTGTAACTCCCAGGATCCACAAAGCTCTTATTTGGTAGGATGGTAGGTTGGCATTGGATCAGGAAGCTCTCCATTGCAGCGCCTTGC